TTCAAATTCTTGTTATATTGTTGATAATTTTTCATTCTTTGCCTTTAAAGCATGGCTGCTCGCTGTTTCTGGGATGCTGACACTGACAACTACACACATGATGTTTTCATGAATGTAAGTATGTTTGGAACCTTTTTTTCCCTTTCTTAAGACATGTACGCCCTCCAAATCAAATTACTTAATATTTACTAAGATGTGAGGACACTTCAGTTTTAGACATTTGTCTTTTATACTCCTTCTGATTGAGATGACTTTACTATTCCTTCTTGTGTTCCTAAAGTGAAACCTAGTGTACTGATTATAGGCAAAGAGACTTGTCTGTGTACAGATGATGTAACTATTCACAAGTTTGATTTGGGGAATATCATATTGTTTAATGCTAATAGACATAGAGCACTTTGTTAAGCTGCAAAGAAATTTGGGTGGCAGGGATTTCATGAGCAAAGGTGATTTTTCTTTCAGTAATAAATTACTTACTTTATCTTAAAGCTATTTCTCAAAAGTAAGCAAAAATAAAGAGAAAAATTTCTTAAGGTTTCCTTTAAACATTGGTAGCTTATTGGCACAAATGTTTTGTATATTTTAATTGCATGTTACTATGTTATACTTACTTCCAGAAGTGAGTCCTTTCTTAATAGAGTCAGAATTAGAGTAGCACAGAAACTGGATTGAATGATTTAGGAGAGGGGATCCATTTCCCGTTCTGAAACTTTTTAACTGAATGACCTTAGGTAAGTCACTGGGTTTTTCTCTGATTATATCAGTAACATGAGGAAGCTGTACTAGATTTTCCCAAAGACTGATTGTGGCTGCCTATGAATAATTTGGGAAACTTGATTAAAGTACAGAAACTGGGACTCTGTTCAAATAGATTCTGATCAAGTAGGTCAGAGGTTGGATCAGTGATTCTGAATTTTTTTAAAAGTTCACCACATGATATCCTTACTCCCAGGTTTGGAAGCTGTTTGGGCAGATGATCTTAAGATACCTTTTAGTCCTAAAATTCTGTGGTCCTACCAAACTTTCATTTTCTGCTCAACTACCCTAGGGATCAAGGGACGAACAGTGAGAACTATGTAAATCTCCTTTTCTCAGGGGAAGGGACTAGCTAAGGTGATGGTTTCTCCTGCTTTTTGGAGTTAAAATGCAAATTCCCTGAGTTCTTATACAATATAATTCATTCATTCAACAATTAATTCTGAGCTTCTATTATGTGCCAGCCTCTGTACTAGAGGTGCTAGGGATAAAATGATGAATAAGACAGGCATGGTTTCTGGTTTTACAGAGAGCTTATAAAATCAGTAGGGCTGGACAATACATTAACAAATATAATTTAAAATTTAAGTTACCAATTATTAATTAATAAACTTATCAGGATCGAGTTTGAGAACACAGGATTGGTGGGGGTTTTTTCTCTTGGACCTTTTGTTTTTTATTATTATTTTTTATTTTGATATTGTTAATGTACAATTACTTGAACAACATTATGGTTACTAGACTCCCTTATTACCAAGTCCCCCTCACATACCCCATTACAGTCACTGTCCATCAGCATAGTAAGATGCTATAGAATCATTACTTGTCTTCTCTGTATACACTGCCTTCCCCATGTCCCCACCCCCCTACATTATGTGTGCTAATTGTAATGCCCCATACTCCCCCTTATCCCTCCGTTTCCACCCATCCTCCCCAGTCCCTTTCCCTTTGGTAACTGTTAGTCCATTCTTGGGTTCTGTGAGTCAGCTGTTTTTTTGTTCCTTCAGTTTTTTCATTGTTGTTATACTCCACAGATGAGTGAAATCATTTGATACTTGTCTTTCTCTGCCTGGCTTATTTCACTGAGCATAATACCCTCTAGCTCCATCCATGTTGTTGTAAATGGTTAGGATATGTTTTCTTATGGCTGAACAATATTCCATTGTGTATATGTACCACATCTTCTTTATCCATTCATCTACTGATGGACTTAGGTTGCTTCCATTTCTTGGCTACTGTAAATAGTGTTGCAATAAACATAGGGGTGCATATGTCTTTTTCAAACTGGGCTCCTGCATTCTTAGAGTAAATTCCTAGAAGTGGAATTCCTGGGTCAAATGGTATTTCTATTTTGAGTTTTTTGAGGAATCTCCATACTGCTTCCCACAATGGTTGAGCTAATTTACATTCCCACCAGCAGTGTAGGAGGGTTCCCCTTTCTCCACATCCTCGCCAACATTTGTTGTTGTCTTTTGGATGGTGACCATCCTAACTGGTGTGAGGTGATA